GGCAGATAAAATGACTAGTAGTCGACTACAAGGTACAAAACTCCTATTCCACGACCTTAGCGCATTTTTGGAACATTGTCTCTCCACAGCCACGTACTGTTATGGACAAGGCGCCGCCCGATTTCAGGAAGACAAGGGAAGAAACGAGGAGAATCTAGCACGTAGCTATGGCCACAGAACACGGATAAATACTATGCATGCTCAACGAGATGAAACATGTCCTGTTTGCCACCGCGATCATCCCCTATCGCTATGCGATGAATTTAAATCTTACGACTACGAGCAGAGAATGAAAACAATTAGAGAAATCAACGGCTGTTTTTTGTGTCTTAGACCGGGTCATCGAGCCAACGTTTGTCGAGTGAGGGGTCGATGCACGGTAGATAGATGCAGCGGACGTCATCACGCGTTATTACACATTCCCAGATCTCCGCATCCAGCAAATGGTGCTAGGATAAATTCAGTTTCCACAGAGACACCATGTACCTATTTGGGGTTCGTACCTGTCGTAGTAATCGGCCCACGCGGCTCCTTTTGGATAACGGCTCCGATACAACTTTGCTTTCCGACACGGTCGCTCAGAATCTCGAAATATCTGGGCCATCAACGCAATTGAGAGTTACATCAGTCAACGGAGAAGCGGTTAGGAAAACATCGAGCGTTAAATTCACCATCCAGCCGTTAAGTGGAGGTCACACAGTTGAAGTGGAGCGTGCATTTACCGTGGACGAACTCCCAGTGAAGAAGGCGTCCGTACCACCATCTGGGCTGAGCCGTTGGCCACATCTGAAAGACGTTCAATTTGAAGAAATCCCAGATTTGGAGGTAGGGATTCTCATCGGCGCGAACACGCCAGAAGCCCACTGGTCGCTAGATCAACGAGTTGGAACTTCGAAACAACCGTTTGCAACAAGGACTGTTTTAGGTTGGGTGTTATTCGGACCGACACACAAACCTTCTGGACGGTCAGGTTCGGTTAACTGCCTAACATCTAGGACGGAGGTCGAGTCGAATATCTTGAGGATATATGAAATGGAATTCGCAGAGCGACATAACGGAGTCTCTCTCTCGCTGGAGGATAAACGGTCTGTGGAAATATCTCGCGAATCTGTGGCACTCGTTGAAGGCCACAAGCAACTAGAATCACGCTGGCGGCGACATTGGAGTGAACTACCAAGCAATCGGCAGTCGACTGAGAGAAGACTGTACTACCTTCGAGGTCGCCTACAGAGAGAGCCTGAAGTTCTAAACAGGTACAACGAAGTCATTACCGCCTCGTTATATGATCCTATCGGCTTTGTGGCTTCGCGATTACTGTCTCCAAAGTGTTTACTACAGAAACTCTGCCTAATCACATCCAGAGGGGAGGAAGTAGTAACCAAGCCAATTGAGGCAGCCTGGAAGAAATGGCAATCAAAAAATCGATTGATCGAAACTCTTCTCATCCCACGATACATAAACGCACGCGCTTCTAAGTATATTAAATCGTCGTTGCACTTGTTCTTGGATGCATCTGAAGTCGGTTACGCGTCAGTAGCATATCTCCGTCATGAAACGGTCAGTGAAGTATTGTTTTTCTTCGTGAT